AAGCAACAGTTAATACGATCTCCCAGGCACTTGAAAGGTGCCGACAAATACAAAGAGAATTAAGATGCACCTTGGAGAACATTAGGACAGACATGGTCATTTGAAGGTCTTTAAAGAATCAACGTGAGTGGGCAACAGCAGACACTGCTAAGGCATGCCCAAGGAATTCCGAGCCTTCAAAAAATGCTTCCAAGGTGGTGCTCGCAGGGCCCTTTGCCACCAACACCACCATACACATCTCAATGACAGAAGAAAGCTGAGTATTTTCATTTGTCACTTCCTGAGAGAGGACTGTGCTCCCAAGGATCCAAGGAGGGACCTCAGAGTAACTGGTGTGGAGTTATTAATTAATAAGTTTATTTTCCTTACGATTTGTCAGAAAATCATGCTCAAGTTTCTCAATTCATGCTTTGAATACTGAAGTTATTTTAGCAGGCAATTTGTGTTTCCTGGCTCAAAAGTCCTTTTATGAACAACAAAGCCCCATGTTAATACAAGCTTAGTCTTTTTGGTGTTGTAACCACCTCCACAGTTCTGACCTTTCAACCTGATTAGAGGTAGAAATGTTCTCAAAGTTTCTAAAACAAAGCCACATTACCAGAAACTTCCTGTCTGCTGTACTGGTGAGGCTGTGATAAGATAACTACATTATCTGTTCCTTGAGTTCTCCAGGCAAGATTTCTAAATCCTGAAGGTGAAGCAAGATTCATTTTAATGCTGCCCCATCCCCACCTCTCCATTTGGGATCACAGTTTTAAGGTGTCAACAGACCCAGTGTGAAGTAAAAAACTGCCCTTGGCCAGAAAAGTAATTTCTGTTAGAGGAAATCCAGGCCCCAGGGAGAAACCATGAAGAAAAAAATTTTCTCTGTTCCTAGAGACTTGTACAGTCTAAATTAGCAGAGATTCCTTTCCCTTGACTCCCTCTTGATAAATACAGCAATATGGATGCCAGGCTGGAGTGTCAGGACATTTCAAGATAGACCCTTTTTTCCCCTCCAGATTTAGCACCACTTAGTGCCCATGCCAGTAATGGTCAGGAGCTGCCTAAGACTTTTTTTTAAGTCTGCATAGCACCCACATTATAAAGGCACAGATTTTCAGTATCATGCCATAAACAGACTTCACCTCGAGTTGGAATTGTCTTATTTGTACTTTTAAGATGAACAAAATGAGAAACACTTTCACCAACAGCACCAAAGACAGCATGGATCGTGCCTCAGAGGCATTACTCCCCAACACAGAAGAAAAGGCAACTCAAGTGTTCTTGTTTTTGAGATTCAGACCACGCAGAGTAAATCCACAGCTCTCCGAAACATCACTCTGCCCCTCCTGGGAAGCCACAGCTGAAGGGACTGACCTTCCATGGACCCAAGATGTAATTCTGGGAAACAACTCATTACAGAAATGCAAAAACCTCTCCATGAATTTGGCTGGGAAGATTCCACTACAGCCCACAAAATCATGCTGTGGTTGGTTTGGAGAACACTGGAAAGGATCATACTATGATGATCAGACCCACATGAAAAATGAACATATAGAGGACAATGCTCATTGAGTTTCACCCAATTTCACATTCTGGAAGTGCCAGACTATTTAAGTCAGTCGCAGATGTGAAGTGCACACGCAGAGGAGCTGAAGGAAACATGTACAATATCCCACCATAAAACTTCCAGAAAGACAGAATCTGCCACTCTACTTCCCTTATAACCTAGCAACAAATTTTTAAAACTCCAGATGAGGTGTCCGATGCAATGAGTTACTCAGATTCCAGCTCAGCTGCATCAGCCACACCCTGGAACTACCTGCAGGGCCCGTAAGATGTTCCAGGATATGGAAAGAGGCCTCTGTCATTTTTTGGCAAACGATGCCTCATCTAATAAAGCTGATTTACTGAGATCCTTTGCAGCCTCTCACAAAGTACGTATACACTGAGCTAGGTGACATTTAAAGTCTACAAGAGACAAAGACCATCATTGTGTGGAACTTGTTCCTCAGCCCTAACTATGGTTTGCCTCCTGAGCTCAATTAAGTCTAATTGTGCTTAGAGAAGAAGGACACAGCTCATCTTAGACCCTGGACTAACATCAAGGGGCAAAAAAAACCCCTTATTTCTACATAAAGGCCTCTGAAATCTGCTTGAAGTTCACTGCAAAGTAGGCAAACAGTAAAATCTTATGTGACATTATAATCACTTCACCTTACAATTACTGTTGAAGACTAAAAACTTAGAGAAACAAAGCGTCAATATCAATTTTTTGGCAGATAGCTGCAAAGCAATGCAAAAAGAACCAGTGGTGTGGTTGGAATTGCATCAGGGGAATCTCTTTTCCCCAGAGGCAGTTCAGTTCTTCTCGGTAACGTTCCCAACAGCATGAAATGCTTTGTTCTTGTTGCTGCAAGAATAAAGCCACACTCTGAGCAAAGAAGCTCACACAGAACCTTTGAAGCCCACCTCCTGCCTTCTCCTTTTGGTCTGTGGCCAGCAGAGAGGAAACAACAGTCACCAGTGTTGCAGAACTCACACACAGGAACTGTATAAACCTCAATGGAAAATGATTTAACCAAACTGGTGCAATTTCTTCAGAGAAAGAGCCCTTAGCCATGTCCACTCCTATAGTGGTTTGTAATTCAGAACGTATTCCAAACTAGCAGTATGATTCTCACCTGAGTCACCTCAAAATTTGGTCTCTTCTCCCAAGTAACTAGTGATAGGGCAAGAGGAAATGGGGTTAAGTTATATCAGTGGAGACTTTGATTAATATTAGGAAGAATTTCTTTCCTGACAGAGGGGTGAGACATGGGCCCAGGCTGCCTGGGGAGGGGGGGGGGAGTAGAGTCCCCATTGCTGGAGGAGTTCAAATAATGTGTGGACGTGGCACTTTGGGACATGATTTAGTGGTCAAGGGAGTGTTGGGTTGGTGGTTGGACTTGATGATCCTAAGAGGTCTTTTCCAACCTTGAGGATTCCATGCTTCTATGAAAATGTGTTTAATAACTTTAGAAAAGAAAACCCTTACTATGCAAAATTATGCACAGAAGTTAAGCTTTGGACCATACCTGCTTGTAGCAGCAGTGGCTGAACACATCCAAACATTGGTGGCCAGGACCACAGGGGCAGGAGCCCAGAGCAGAAGCAGGAGCCATGCAGCTGAGCTCATCCTCCACCACAGCTGCATGACAGATCACACCAGCACCTTTCCTTTCAAGGTTTCACTCTGCAAAACTGGAATTGCAGCAGGCAGGTTTGTGCTAGAGCAAAGAGCACACATGTGCCAGCCATTTAACCGGCTTCAGATGGGGGCAGTGGCTCCAGAAGCCACCACATGTTCAACTTTTCCAGCTATTGCTGCAGCACTCACCTCACCGAAGCACACACAGATCTACAGTGTGCTGCTGGCAGACCTGTCACTCAGGACTCAAGTCACTCTATGAACAAGTAATTAAGGATTCCTGAGGTATGATAAGGTAATAAGGTGGGGATAAATTCTTGACACTTAGATCATTCTCAGCTTGAGTTTGAATTCCTGGGAGAAGGTACCACCTGAATAAAAAGTTCCAGCTATTCTTGGCATGAGGACAATTCTATCTATAGATTCATTCTGTAGAGTATTCTGTGAGACACGGTGATTTGTGCCAGGAAAACCCAGAGCTAATTACCCTGAAAGCATTTAATGTACAGATAATCTGGAATCGATGGGCACAGAGAGATTATCTTCACAGTGCTGCTTCTCCTTGTCACTTCCCACCGAGCCCACACCGCAGCAGGGTGACAGACTGTAAAACATTACATATTAAAAATCCATTTAAATAAATATTCTGCTTTTTGCAGCTGCCTTGTGCCTTGTAAAACATTAGGAAGGTGTCACTAAAATCCATCCCTCTGCAAAGGGATGATGTAGTCACTTGACCAAGTACCTAATAAACGGAGAGCAGGTTTTATGGTAGCTGAAAGGACTGTAAGGCTCCAAGCTTCTCCACCAGCCCCGTTTAAGGTCTGACACAGAACTTTTAAGAAGGTCAGATGGAAAATGGATACCCATTTTCCATTTGTAAGCAAATATTACCTGCTGAAGAGGTGTTGAGATCTGTGTGCTTTTGAGGTGAAGGCATTCCAGCTGGAGATTCCCTCTGGATGTGGCAGACCCTGTTTGTTCTGGAGACAGATTTGAGTTCTACATGAGAAGAACTCAAGACAAACTGACCCAGGGAGGATCAGCAGCTTCAGCCTCATTACTTCAGCCACTGCCAAGCTCCTCCCGAACGAGCTCTGCCCTGTGTTAACTCTCAGCCTGCAGAAGTTCCTCCAACCAGGAGGGCAGGCTGCCTCTCAGCCACCCCACCGCGGGTGACACCTTAGGCAAATAAACACAAGGAAGTCAACCAGGACAGCCAGCAGCCACAGCAGGTTACTCCTACAGGTGCCAGTGCTGAAGCACACAAATCCCCAAAGAGGAGCAGACAGGCAGTCTTATCACAAAACCTGATCTAACAAATCAAAGCAGAGCAAATGAGCCAGGGTTTGCTTTTTTTTTTTATTCACACCCCTTATTCAGCAAAAGGAGTTCACAGACACAGCACCTGGAGAAAGTTCATCGAGCTGTTAGCTTTACAGTATTTCTTACTCGGTTGTGTCAAAGTACAGCTCACAGCTTTTACTCACAGTAGCTTTCATTCACAGTTTCCACAGCATCAGCTCGGGGGAGCAGGAATTTAATTCGTTTGCTTTTTGCCTAAAAATTTAGCTACATTCATTTCAGCACATGTATACCTGTAATACCTTGTTATGATTTCAGAAGCAAAATCATTAAGTTAAAAAGGAAAAATTACTACAAGAATGTTATAAATTAAGAAAATAAAATTATTTATATTTTTTTCCTAAATAAAAATGTATCCTCTCAGACATATCTTGTATATATTCAGCACTTCAGAAATAATGGCATTTTCTGGGCATCATCATCATACCACGTTACCATTCCACCCCTTACAATCCAGCACAAATCAGTTAATCCCACGCTGTTGTGACCAATTCCTATTAAAACTTTCATCCTTCATAGCTTTCACCAGCCAGTCCCTCTCATTCTCCTCATCAGTGTCACTCATGTCACTGGAATCGGCAGCCAGGAGACGAGAGTAATTAATTTTTTTCTGCCGTGGCAATTTCCATTGGATAATTAAGAACAAGAAGAGCCACAGCACCATGCACACGCTGCACGCCCTGAACAGAACTGCCAGGCCAAAGCATCTCACGACAAATCCTCCTGCAAAACTGCCCAAGCTCATCCCTCCACCATGGAAGAGGCCCCGAAGAAGAGCGTGGAGAGACCTCTCCGTGCCCGGAGTGGCTACGTCATCCACTGTCACCTCAATCACCCACCACAAAGCACCATTGCTGAAGGCAGATAAAATTTGGATAAGGAGAACCGACCATGCAGTCCACACGAAGGAGTAGCACAGAAGCTGCGCCGCCAGGAGGCTCAGACTGCTGGCAACAATCTTGCTGCTCGAGAAAGTCCTCAACAACTTCTCCTTGAAGAAATACAACAAAATTTCCGCAAGGAGCCCGACGGCCACGGAGAGCCCCATGTACAGCTCGCTGCTGCCGTGGTCCTGCATCTGCCAGAAGAGGAAGTTGTGGGTGGCAGAGGCAGCGGCGCCGGTGAGGCAGAGGGTGGCGGCGTGCAGCACCGCGCGGCCGTCGCTCCGCAGCAGCGCCAGGGCTTTGGCCGCTTTGTTAACACGGCTGGGCTTCCTCGCAGCCTGGATGGGCAGAACGACGCTGACCAGCGAGCAGAGCGCCGTCAGGATGGCGTAGCCGTAGAAATGGGCAGCCAGGCGGGTGGTCGTGCTGCTCAGGAGGCAGTGCAGGTGATCCACGAGCACGGCGATGCTGCAGGCGCCTACAGACGCACCCAGGTAACTCCAAATCCACAGCCTGCCGTATCTGTCGGTCGCATCAACGAAGTCGAGATACTCATAGAGACTCTCGTCCACTGTCCATTCAAGAGAAGTAGCCAAGAGCTCCCAAACCACGACAGCACCCAGTACCATAACAAAAACCTGGTTCTCTCTGTCCTGAAAGATGTTCTGCAGTGCCTCGAAGTTGATCTCTTGAGCATCTTTCTGGTGGTCTGAAAGGCTTCCAGGCATGTAAGCATCTCCAACAGTAGGAATAGTTGTAAACAAAGAGAGTTCATTGCTTTCAGTAGCATAAAGGCTTTCCTCAGCGTTATCAGCAAGATCTGTTGCAGCAGAACCCAGACTGCTCTGCTCCAGTCCACCTAAGGGAGGTCTGTAGAAAGCCCGCATTTCTGGTTCCTGTGTCTCCCAGTTAACTGCTTTCTCAGAAGTTGTCTGGTCAGAGGGATCATCCAAATAACCGTTTGTCTCACTTTCCCCAAGCCTTTTTTTCTCAGGTGTATTTGTCAGGCCAAATAATCCCTGGAAGGCTGCACTGGTGAGCAAGGGTTGTCTACTCACTACGTGAACACCAGTGGTCGTTTTCACGGCTTCTTTGGCCCCAGCGCTTGCATTCGTAATGGCACTCGAGTTTAAAACACTATAGCTGCTCGTGCTCGGGCCGGGCAGCGCGGCAGGGGCCCCTCGGTCACCCAGCTGCTGGCTGGCGTTGCAGTACCTGAA